CCTTGGGGCGATCTGGAGGAGCCCCCGGCCCTCGGTTGTGCTTGTTGTCAGCCCTCGGGGGCTGCTGGTCCGGATGCTGGTGATACTTCTCCACCTCCTCGGCCTCAGCATATCGGTCCCCCTGCTGCAAGGCCCTTATGTAGTCGTGGGGGGGTTCAATGATGAGGCTCCTTGAGAAGTTGCCGGTGCGGAGGACGGTTTGTAGGAGGGCCAGGAGGGTCCCGTCATCAGCACCGTCGACCTTGTCGGCCTCCGTCCTCCAGCGCTCTAGGAAATCCCGAAGGGTCTCATCCCTCTTTTGGCGTATTGTTAGGAGGTGGGAGAAGTGCTTCCTTGTGCGACGTCTCCCGGCAAACTGTGTCAAGAATAGCTGGGCGAGTTCTTGCCACGAATCAATGCAGCCCTCGGGCAGCCTGTTAAACCATTCGTATGCTGGTCCCTCTAAGGTGGAGAGGAACCATCGACACAAATATTCGTCTGACGCCCCCACCATCATCATGCTGTTCTGGTATTTGCTGTAGTGCTCCTGGGGGTCCGTTTTCCCACTGTAGGGCTGTATGTGTTGCCCTCGGTACTTCTCCGGAATCCGGGCCGCCAATACCCTTGGGGTAAATGGCGTCCGAGTCCGGAGCTGGATGACGGGTTCCCCGGAGCCCTCGGCCACCTTCTTCTGTAACTCCTCCATCTTGGCCATCATGGCCTCGTATTTGAGATCCGAGTGAGGGGTGGAGGTGGTGGCGTGAGCTTTGTTGGACTCCATTTCGTCAAGCCGGCGCTGGAGGGCCGCAATAATCTCGTCCCGGGGGTCCCTCGGGAGGGTTTCCGCCCCCTGCGAACGAACCCGGGCCGAGTGGGCCTGGTTGATTTGGTGCCGAGCATCATCGGCATGAAGGGGTGCCTTGCCTTTGTCCCGAGGGGGACGCTCCTCGTCTGCCCTCGAAACAGATCCCCCGCTTTCCTGGGGCCTTTGGAGTGCTTTCCCCCCGAGGCGGTCTTGGACCCCTCGGCGGTCTGGCCCTCCTCCGAGCCGGTTGAGGGCGGAAGTACGGGGCCTCTCCCTGTTGTCATTATGGCGGTCCCGGGACTGAACTTCCTGGGAGGATGTATCTTGGGCCACCACCCCTTCATCATTTCTCACCCGAGGGGTGGGATTTCCGAAGGGGTGTGGCAGAGGGGGAAGTATGATGTTTTCCCCGATCTGAGGGTGAGCTGGAGCCAGGGTGCCGAAGGCACCCGGGTTCTGGGTGAGCGTCTGGATGAAGGCGGAGAGCGCCGATTGTACGTCGATGGTGAGAACCGGAGGGCTGGCTTGGTCATCGCTCCGGTTTTTCTTCTTGGCCTCGATGCCGAGGCGGGCATCGGGGGCGTTTTGTTGGATCTGAAGGCGTAGGTCGACAGCCGCCTGTTCCAGCCCAGCGAGGACACCGCCCTCGGGAGCCCTGTGAGAGGCTTCGGGGGCGTTGACGTCGCCGAGGGGCAGGTTCTTGTCTTCTACGTTCTTTGAGTTGGCACGTGTTGTCCTCACCATTTTGATAGAGGGCTGGTGTTTGTGTGTTTGGTCGAGGGGGAGGGTTTCTTACTCGATTGTTCAGGCTCTCAACGAGAGCACCAAATGATGGATAGTCTACCCGGGGGTATATATCCGAAGGGTTACTACGGGGAGTAACTTAGAGAGAAGTCAGAGCAAATAAGTAAGAGAGTGAGAGAGTGTATATTCAGTATCTATTAAGCGTGGTTACAAATGGGGAAATGGGGTGCTATTTATAGTAGCAATAAATGCCGGGCAGGGACACGTGTCAAGCGCTCATTGGCCGAGGGGTCACCTCAACTGGTTGGCGCTGGCAGCCGAATGTGGCCGCATTTAATGCGGCTGTTGGATGGGACGTCTGTGCGGGGTACGGTGATCTGTACGCATGTGAGGCAGATATCCTGTCGAGTAAGGTGCCTTCGGCCATAGAGCAGTAGCCGAGGGCTCTTCCTCCCGATGGCACCCCTGGTGCCGAGGGCTCCAAGTGCCGAGGGCTACTGTTTTCGCCGTTTTCTCCTAGTTTCTTAGTTTGCTTGAGAAACTCGCTCTGTGATAATTTGGAGCCTTCGGCCAGGGGACCGAAGGCACCCCTGTGCGTTGTGCGGACTGCTTGGTACTCTGGGCGCTGTGATTTGGGCCTGTTGGGCCTGTTGGGCCTTTGGTGGAGTAGTAGGAGTCTGTGGGCCGGGGGTTCCCGGGCCATATACTCCATCATTTTCAAACTAAATACAACAAGAGTTTAACTGTGCCTCATGATGTGAATCTCATATGAGATGTATAATCATTCTTGGTCTCAAATTAGCAACATTTCTACAGCATTTTGAAATTTACTCCGTATTGTTTAATGTGCTCTTAGAAGCCTTTTATTGCCTTGATTATGTATGATGAAAATCCTTATCCGATCGTTACATTTAATTGCCTTTCTATTGCTTATTACTACAAAAAAAAGTTCATTCTACTTTGAATTAATGTAAGCATTAAGAAAAATGCATTGAAGGTTATAGGTACGTGCCACATCTCTATTGGAAATATGGTCATTTCTTTGTACATAATATGATTACATTTATATGAGAAACTTGATTATTTGAATATTAATCGATAAGTTAATATGACTCATATAACTTCAATGTTGTATAAAACATTCAAGGAAGTGATATACTTTAAGAAAATGCATGATTAGCAAACATGATATAGATTTTAACTATATTTGAATCATACTTAAATATTGCTATGGATATGCAAATAATGCTTAGTAAATCACAAGTTATTGTAATTATGTATAATGATTAGCTCTAGTTAATCTACTCGAGAGAGAGAGAGAGAGAGAAAATCAATAAAATTTCAGAAATGAAATATGAAATTATAGTAAAGTGCCAGAACTCACTATAAGAGTATAAATTTGATATACACTTGGGTGTGTTGTGAACATGAAATTCCCACAACGCTTACACACGAGATGGTGTGTGTCTACCAGCAGGGCCTGAAGCCCTTACTTGTGGGCGTGTTTTAAAGCCGTGAGGTCCTGAAGTACCAAAGCGGACAATATGTTATTATATGTCAAGGTAAATTTTAAGAAATTAAATTCATTCAAGTGAATACTTTGAGACAAGTATTTAAGTATTCTTTAACAAATTTGATTATTTGATACCTTTTGTTTTACTCCAGAAGTAGCATTATCTAATCTTTAGACTCTCCATATACATTTCTAGGTGATTGATTCATATTGTTTCTATGAAAGTAAGAAATCACTATATAAATGACTATTTTAGAGACAAATTATTTGTCTTAGGGATGATATAATGCATGAAGCATGCATATACTTTTAAAATTTTTGCTACAAGGAGTTGATCATCAGATTATATTGGATTCTACAAGAAGTTTTGAAGTGATGCAGTCAACAGGGGGAGTATATACGCGGCTTACGCGCTGCACTCTTTTTCCCTTGACCAAGGTTTTGTCCCACTGGGTTTTCCTCGGCAAGGTTTTTAACGAGGCAGTATTACCATAACGTATAGAGATAATAATGTAAATTTTTCTTGTAATGTATTTTATTTAGCAATTTACATCCAAGGGGGAGTGTTATGTAATATGTGGATGTCCATTAACCCCCAAGCCCATATGTTCTGACCCATATCAAGTGTAACCCTAACTCCCTTCTCCTTGTATATATAGATGGCTATATGTGAATGAATTATATGTTTTTCGGCCTTGTTTTACAACACACTAATCTTAATCATTTGTGTAATTAAACATACTTTGCTTAAATCTAATTCAATAAGTTTTTATTTTAATTATTACTCAGGTGTTTTATTTTTCTATAATTTTAATTACTTTAATTATAGATTGTAATAAGTGTATTGTGTTAAGAGACAAATTTAAAGGGCACTTAAGTAATTCACCAAACATGCAATATAAGATATCATTCAACCAAACAACTTAATGTCACATTCCCTTGATCGTAACCAAACACAAATGGGTTATATATTAATCACATTCCCATCTATCTAACATACCTGGTAATCTAACATTCCCATGATAATCTGATATTCATTGAACCAAACATACCTTAATCGTCAAATTTGAGTTTGAGGATTCCAGAGTCTCAATTTCAGCTACTCAATCACAAATCCTCAAATTTAAGCTTAACCAATCGTCAAGTGAGTTTGGGTGATTCTAGAATCTGAATTTCAGATTTTTAGCTTTGGGCGGTGACAACCAAATGGTTGGTTGGGGGCAATCATATTTTTAATGGGGGCAAATGCTTAAACTTTTAATATTTACTAAATAATTAGATGGGTTTACTGGGATTTTGTTGGGGGCAGCTGCCCCCATACCTTCCTTATTAGATCCGCCCCTGGCCTCGAGTAAACGGGACTGAAATTCCCGAGTTACGAACCCAGACTTCTCGTATGGGTTCTTTGCGCTCATAATAATAAGAAAACTTAGCTCGGTTCTTTGAGCTCAAAAGTGAGTTGGTGACCGTTGGATCCAAAGAAGTTGCCTTACAAGTGGGCCGGTGGATTAGATTGTTTTGGTAGAATAATTAGCCCAAACGAAGTAAAAATATTAGCACTTCGGATAATGATTGATGGAAGCCAATAGAATGTGGAGAGGTTCAAAGAATAAGTCTAGTAGTGGGTCAAAGTGGAGAAAAAATAGCCTGTTGGAATATTTCCAATTAATATGGCGTAAGGACCAATATTAATATGTGTTCTATATTCATGTATTATATATATAATTATGTATTATATATATTTATGTATTATTTGATGGAAATAATACTTAAGGGGTACTAATGTGGCAACACCCTTTAGGACAAATAAGAAAAGTTGTGACTATTAGTTATTAACCATATTAATACTCATCTCTCCATTGTGAAGAGATGTACGCAGGGGCGGAACTGCCGGGGGGGGGCAAGGGGGGCCGGTGCCCCTGCTTCGACCGCTGGAGATATGGGGGTATGGGGGGCCACCGGAGGTCTGCGTCGAAATTTCCGGTGAACAAGGAGGGCTGGAGCAAAGTGGAATCGTTCGTCCGTTCGTGTGCTGCGACCAATTCAGGATTGAGGAAGAAGACCTTTTTTTTTAATTAAACAAAACGACGTCGTTTTGTATTGGATTGGGGAAAAAAATTAGGGCCAATCGGGCTTGGCCCAGCCCAACCGCCTGCAGCCCAAAACTAAAAGTTTTTTCCTAAACTAATTATCCAAAAACTAATTACGAAGGTCGAAGGAGAGAGCAGACCAGCCGTAAGGGTTTAGCGCAAGCAGCAGACCAAGCGAGTGAAGCGACCAGCTCTCCAGCCTGCAGCCACCGTCGCCCGCCCGGCCCCACCGGACACCGGTCACAGCCTCACAGGCGACGGTATGTTCCGACTTGGCGACTTAACTTCCTATTTCTTCTCTTTGAAATTAAATAAAATTTGGTATTTGACTATTGATGTTTTTTAAATTCATAACATGTATATGATATAATTTGTATATGATATAATTTCTAACATGTAGTGTGATGTGTAGAACTTGGATCTCATGTATTGAAATAATCAACATGTGGTATTAGAGCATCCATATATCATCACTCTCTGTTTTTTTTATCATATACTACGTACGCATGAAGTATATAACTGTACTTATAATTTTGAAGACCCGGAATTTTTACCTTGAAGTGTGTTCTAACCTTTTGACATGATTCCTATTGCATGATAAAATAATGATGTACGTCATCATGATAAAACGCTATCATCATGTTCTGAAATGAAAAAAAAACGCTGGTTACTCGAATAAACTTGGAGAAAAAAAACATTTTTCTTCTTCTTTTTTTCTCCCGAAAGTTGTGCTGCCCGGCGGGTTTTAATGATCACCGGCATGTTTTAATGATTACCGGCATGTTTTGACGGTTACCGGCGGATTTTAATGATCACCGGCATGTTTTAATGATTTCCGGCATCTTTTGACGGTTACCGGCGGGTTTTAACGATCACCGGCATGTTTTGATGACTACCGGCGAGTTTTGACGGTTACCGGCTGGTTTTGACAGTTAGGGAAATTTTTAAAATGGTTGAGTATGGTTTTTGAACATCAACTTAAAATATTAAATCAACCATATTACCTGCTGCATGTTATCTTGTGCATAGTTTTATATAAATGGACTCTCACGTATCACTTTTGCTAAATGCAAACCAAGTTTAACATGGTTGATTTATCATCAGACGAGCGTCCAAGCATGGTCCCTTATCATAGGACCGGCTCCGCCATCCTTCAGCTTCAGACAAGCGTCCAACGTCGTCCTTCATCTTCAGATGAGTGCCCAACGCCGTCCCTCATCTTCAGACGAGCGTCCAAGCCTGGTCCTTCATCATAGGACCGGCTCTGTCGTCCCTACAATTCAGACGAGCACCCAACGCCGTTCTCAATCTTCAGACGAGCGCCCAACACCATCCCTAATCTTCAGACGAGCGTCCAACGTCGTCCTTCATCTTCAGACGAGCGCCCAGCGCCGTCCCTAATCTTCAGACGAGCGTCCAAGCCTGGTCCTTCGTCATCGGACTGGCTCCATCGTCCTTCATCTTTAGACGAGTGCTCAGCACCGCCCCTCATCTTCAGACGAGCGTCCAAGCCTGGTCCTTCATCATAGGACCGGCTCTGCCGTTCCTACTATCCAGACGAGTGCCCAACGCCGTCCTTCATCTTTAGACGAGTGCCCAACACTGTCCCTCATCTTTAGACGAGCGTCCAACGCCGTCCTACATCTTCAAATGAGCTCCCAACGCCATCCCTCATCTTTAGACGAGCGTCCAAGTCTGGTCCTTTATCATAGAACTAGCTCCGCTATCCCTAATCTTCAGACGAGCGTCCAAGCCTGGTCCTTCATCATTGGACCGGCTCCGCCATCCCACATCTTCAGATGAGCGTCCAAGCGTGGACCTTCATCATAAGACCAACCCCGCTGTCCTTCATATTCAGACAAGCGCCCAACGCCATCCTTCATCTTCAGACCAACGTCAAAGCTTGGTCCTCTATATGACGACCGACCTCATCAGCACCGTCATCATCAAAGGACGAGCGTCATCAGCGCTGTCCTTCATCTTCAGACCAACGTCAAAGCTTGGTCCTTCATATTATCTTATGATCGGCTTCATCAACGCCTCGTCATCATTTCATGGACCGGCTCATCAACACCGACATCCTCATCAACATGATCGTCCCCTTGACTACGGCGTGATTAGCTACATCAAGACTTGCTCCTCAGCGCTAAAGTCTTAATCTAGCGACCAAGCTCGCCATTCCCTTCCAGGGTGGTGACCGTCGCCTTTACATGACTATCGACCCATCAGCGCCGATGTCCCCATATCACGAGCGGCACCTCGGCCTCGCCATGATTCTATATCTCAAGACCGGCTTCCTCAGTGCCGAGAGTCTTGAGCCCGCGATCGGGCTCATCATCCCTTCCTGGATGGTGACCATCGCCTTTATATGACAATCAGCTTTATCATCGCCTTATCATCATTTACAAGATCGACTCCTCATCGTCGTTTGTCCCCACAACACGGCCGACCCTTCGGCCTCGGCGTGATTATCTATCTCAAGACCGGCTTTCTCAGCGCTGAGAGTCTTGAGCCAGCGATGAGGATCGTCATCCCTTCCTGGATGGTGACCATCGCCTCTATATGACGATCAACTTCATCATCGCCTCGTCATCATTTAAAGGACCGACTCCTCATCGCCGTTCGTCCTCACATCACGATCGGTGTCTCGGCCTCGACGTGATTATTTATCATCACGACCGGGCTCGCCATTCCCTTCGAGGATAGCGACCGTCACCTCTATATGACGACTGGCTCACCATCGCCTCGTCATCAGTATTCAGATCGGGCCATCCTCATATCGACACGGCAGACCCCTCGGTCTCAATGTGATCTTTTATATCAACACGACAGACCCCTCGGTCTCAACGTGATCTTTTATATCAACGCGGCAGACCCCTCGGTCTCAACATGATCTTTTATATCGACACGGCAGACCCCTCGGTCTCAACGTGATCATCATACTTTGAAGACCAGCCTCATCCTCTCACTTTATGGATAAGGATCACTTCTCGGACTCTTGGATCGGCCTCTCAGTGCTGACACTCAAGATCACGATCAGCCCCTCAGCCTCGGCGTGATGGTTTATCTCAAGACCAGCTCCTCAACGCCAAAGTCTTGCTATCGGAATCAGGCTCGTTACTCCCTTCCCGGATAGCGACCGTCGCCTTTATATGATGACCGACTCATAATTGCCTCATCATCATATTTCGGATTGGCTCCGAATTGCCATCCGCACATCATGACCGTCCCCTCGGCTATGGCGTGATTGTCTACATCAAGAATGGCTCCTCAGCGCCGAAGTATTGATCTCGTGACCGGGCTCACCATTCCCTTCCAGGGTGGTGATCGTCGCCTTTGTATGACGACCGACCCCTCACTCCCGTCGTCCCCAGATCGCGTACGGCCCCTCAGCCTCAGTGTGATCATATATCTCAAGATCGGCTCCTTAACGCCGAAGTATTGCTATAGTGATCTGGTTCGCTACTCCCTTCCCGGATAGCGACTGTCGCCTTTATATGACCTCATCATCACCTCATCATCATATTTCGGATTAGATCCTTCTCATTTCCATCCGCACATCACGATCGTCCCCTCGTCTACGGTGTGATTATCTACATCAAGACGGGCTCCTCAGCGCCAAAGTCTTGAGCTGACAACGGGGCTCGCCATTCCCTTCCTGGATAGCGATCGTCGCCTTCATGTGATGCACGACTCATCAACACCGTCGTCCTCATATTCAGACAGGCGTTCATCGCCTCGTCCTCATATTCAGACATGCATCCACCACCCCGTCCTCATATTCATACAGGCATCCACCGCCTCGTCTTCATATTCAGATCGACTCATCAGCGTTGACATCCTCATATTCAGACAGACGTCCATCGCCTCGTCTTCATATTCAGATATAGCGAACATCTCGCGGTCTCCGACTGAAAGACTAAAGGAGCCCAGAGTTCAGCCACAGGGGTGTTGCAAGATGCAAACACGCAAGTCCAATGCTGTAATCCTAATCAGGTGGATGATGGGTGTTTCTCTGGGGATGATCTCAAATTTTACGAGCGCAGAATGCCACCTCGGCCTCCCCGTTACTCCCTTAATTTTTCTTGTATCCGGCGTCAGCGCCAATGTTTGCTCCATTGTCAAAAACTTGTGGTCAGTCGATTTTTTCCTCGCCCACGGGGATTCGACATCCATCGTCTCTGTCATCCAATGCGCTATCTTCCTGGCCATGTGGTAGTGCATCTAGACTCAGTTGTAGCTGGTCTAGTGTTCCCTCTGCACCAGTTCCATGTGGACTTGTTTAGGGATCTCCGGATTACTCCGGCTCAGCTCGTCCCCGCATCTTGTAGGGTGATTGCGGGTTTCATAGTGCGTTGCCACAGTGTAGCAGTAGCCCCTTCTGTAGATTTGTTCTACCCCCTTTTTCGAGTTCATCCATTCGGGGCCACGGGCTATTTGTGCCTGACTGCACGCCCTTCTAAGGTGCTTTTTACCAACAATGGATCCAATCCGTCCGGCTGGGAGGAGAGGTTCTTCTTTGCTGAAGTGGGCTTTCCGATGCCCTTTTCGGACCGGTGGAATCCTTCTGATCATTCAGGGGACGTACGTATCTTTGCATAGGAGCATCACGAGACACACGTCTCGAAGGACTTTGGGCCCAGCCGGACATGGGGACGAACGTCATGAGAAGGCACAATTAAGTATTTGAAAGCCCATTACTAATATACGAGCCCAAACAGTAATATGATTAATCACGCATTACGTAAAACATTAATCGTTTTACAATTGTTCAATAATAGGGAAATTCAATACATAAACTTTGAAATTTAATTTGAATTTCAAGGACGTTCCGGTGCGGTGTCACAGTTTCCCTTTTGTACACAACATGCTCATGTGGACATTTAGAGAAACCAAGGGATTTCAAACTCTGATCTAGCTTTGAGTTCCAATCCCTAGGTGCCCGTTTTAACCCATACAAAGCCTTTTTTAGTTTAAGCACTTTGTGTGGGTTTTCCTCATCAATGAAACCTTCTAGTTGACTTACATAAACCTCCTCTTCCAGTTCACCATTCAAGAATGTAGTCTTTACATCCATGTGGTGAACTTCCCATTTTCTTTGTGCAGCATAGGCTAGTAGCATCCTGATTGTCTCCATTTTGGCCACAGGTGCAAAGACTTCACTATAGTCTACTCCTTGTTTCTGTACATACCCCTTTGCCACAAGTCTAGCCTTGTGTTTTATCACCTCTCCACTTGGATCCTTCTTCAGCTTATAGAT